GGCCTGCACTTCATATCTGAGAGTCAAATAGAACCTTCAAATACTGCTGTGACATAGCAGTTTTACAAATTCAAATTCTTTACGTGCTAAAAAGTGTCACATCCTGTTCCTAGCTGCGGATCATTCTGGCAATGGCTTCTGGTATCCAGTACTCTTTTTACAATTCTTGTTTAGTTTTTCTTGGTTTTCTGGTTTTCTATTCTGTCTGGTTTTCTTTATGCTAGGTTTTCTGGGTTCATTCGTCTATATATCCGTCCCTGGATTTCCCAGTCTCTTGGATTCATTTAAATGTTTGTTTTATTTGCCACACCCGTTTGTTTTCCATCATTCCTTTTTGTTTCAGTGTTCCTGCAGGCAGCTTCTCAAGGCTTCTGCCCTTTCTTGCAGGTAAGTGCTATATATGTCTTCTTTGGTTGTTTTAGCATAGGTAGTGTAGGACCTGCCGAATATGGGGTACATTGGCGTTGTGGCAGGCTTATGCAATGTATAATCATATAATGTAACTAAATCCCCATACTTTTAATATAGAGTGCTTAGTTATGTCTCCTTGTTTTGCCTATTATATCTTGTCTTGTTTTAGTTTGTATACCCAGTCCATGTACATTCCTGTCCAGTCATGCCCTTGTTATGTTCATGTTTCCCTTGTGTCTTGTGTACATGTTCTAGGTTTAGCTTCCTGTCCTGCTTTGGTTCTGGGTTCTCCTAGTTTTGTCTTGTTTTCATGTTTGGTGCATATCTCTATCTCTAGCCTTGTTTCTGTACTGGATACACTCCTGCTGCAGAGACTCCCTTGTCAGCTCCTGGGAGGTCTGCTTAATTCCAAGCTCCTAGTTCCTGGGATCCGCATATGCTGAATCAGGGTTCTGGTTTGTGGCTGCACAAACGCTGGTGCTTAACACCAGGGGGCGTGTGGTTACCCAGCACCAGACCCTGCTAATCCGCCTCCACACTGTGACTTCTACTCTGAACATCAGGCATACTGGGTCCCGGTCCTCGCACCGCCGCCTGGACGGTGTCTAGGTCCCGGGCACCAGACTGCCACCCTGACAAGTTTTTTTTACAAATTCCAATTCTTTAGGTGCTAAAAGTAAATTTGGGGCCTGCACTTCATATATGAGAGTCAAATAGAACCGTCAAAAACTGCTGTGACATAGCAGTTTTACAAACTCAAATAATTTAGGTGCTAAAAAGTCAATTTGGAGCCTGCACTTCATTTCTGAGAGTCAAACAGAACCATCAAATACTGTGGTTTCAGCGCATTTTTAAACATTCAAATTATTTAGGTGCTAAATAGTACAGTTGGGGCCTGCACTTCATATTTGAGAGTCAAATAGAACCGTCCAATGCTGCTGTGACAAAGCAGTTTTAAACATTCCAATTCTTTAGGTTCTAAAAATTAAATTTGGGGCCTGCACTTCATATCTGAGAGTCAAATAGAACCGTCAAATACTGCTGTGACATAGAAGTTTTACAAATTCTAATTCTTTAGGTGCTAAAAAGTAAATTTGGGGCCTGCACTTCATATCTGAGAGTCAAATAGAACCGTCAAATACTGTGGTTACAGCGCATTTTTAAACATTCAAATTTTTTGGGTGCTAAATAGTACATTTGCGGCTTGCGGTGCACTTCATATATGAGAGTCAAATAGAACCGTCAAAATACTGTGGTTACAGCGCATTTTTAAACATTCAAATTTTGTTAGTTGCTAAAAAGTACATTTGGGGCCTGCGCTTCATATCTGAGAGTCAAATAGAGCCGTCAAATACTGCTGTGACATAGCAGTTTTACAAATTCAAATTATTTAGGTTCTAAAAAGTAAAATTGGGGCCCGCACTTCATATCTGAGAGTCAAACAGAACCGTCAAATACTGTGCTTACAGCGCAGTTTTAAACATTCAAATTCTTTAGGTGCTAAAAAGTAAATTTGGGGTGTGCACTTCATATCTGAGAGTCAAACAGAACCGTCAAATACTGTGCTTACAGCGCAGTTTTAAACATTCAAATTCTTTAGGTGCTAAAAAGTAAATTTGGGGTGTGCACTTCATATCTGGTGTATGTGTGCAACACTGGCTAGTTACCGCTTCTCAAGAAAAATAAGTGTTATTGTGATCCCTTTATATACAGAAGCATTAATATACATTTCTATATTGTGTAAAGACACAACTACAAAGTTAAAAACCAAACACCAAAACAACGTGCCAGACAATCTACCTGTGCATGGCTAGTGTGATACAATAAGTCTACATCTTAAAAATGCAATAACCCACAGAAGATGGGCGTGAATTATTTTTTGCAAATAGAACTTTGATTCGAATTTACATCGGTCACTTGTAATATTGTTTCACACCTACAACACTTGTTAAACAGATCTAAGTGATAGAAAACAGATTGATATTTTCTATACTAGAGACTACCAGATAACAAGCTGCTGTATTTAAACCAGTTATCAATAACTAAGAGGTACTTAAACAATATTGTAATTCTGGGGCAATACCCTCACAAGTCAAACTGAGAGGTCAGTTTATAGGGAAAACTGTTGCCTGGATACAAATCTATTAATTACTAATTAATTACTTATTAACTCTAGAATTACCACGGTTATCCAAGTGACAGATGGAGCAATCAAAGTAACCATAACTGATTTAACGAGTCATTCACAGTTTCACTGTAGCGGCTGTGTGCGCTTTCGGCATTCCCACCCTGCTGCTGCTCGCCTGTATGCGCTGCAGCGTAACTTCGGCCGTCCCGCTCACCGCCTCATATGCGACGTGCCCACAAGGTGGAATTCCACCTTGCACATGCTGGAGAGACTGTGCGAGCAGCAGCAGGTGATAGCAGAGTTTCAGCTGCAGCACGCATTGGTCAGTCGCTCTGCACCAGACTTGTCCTCCAATAGATCCTCGTTAAATGATTTAAAGTGGACTCATTCCAATTACAGGGCAGTATTGTTATTTATCATCACTACCTTCCCGCATCGGGAGTGGGTAATTTGTGTGCCTGCTGCCTTCCTTGGATGTGGTAGCCATTTCTCAGGCTCCCTCTCCGGAATCGAACCCTGATTCCCCGTTACCCGTGGTCACCATGGTGGGTGCAGAAAGTAACATCGAAAGTTGATAGGGCAGACATCCGAATGCATCGTCGCCGCCATGGTCACCACCTCCTCAACCTCCTACTCCACATCCACCTCCTCCTCCTAGAGCAGGGTGCAAAAGCGGAGCAGCTGTCCCCTAGACAGTATGCCTGCTACTGCCCACCGCACCCGAGCACACTAAAGCCAGCTCCAAGGAGTTCCCTGGCATGGCATTTCTTCAGACAATGTGCTGACGACAAGACACTAGTGGTTTACACGCTGTGCAATCATAGCCTGAAGCAAGGCATAAATGTTCTAAACCTGAGCACAACCTGCATGACCAGGCATTTACATGCAAAGCACGAGCTGCAATGGAGTAAGCACCTCAAAAACCAAGAAAGCTCCTCCTGCTTCCTCTTCTGCTGCTGTTTCTGCCCCTTCCTCCACCTCTGGAGTTACAGTAGCACCTGCCACCCCGCAAACAGAGGATGTCCGGCTGCAGCGCCACCACGTCCGCCACCGTCCCCAAGCATCTCCACACTGTCCCATGGAAGCGTTCAGCTGTCCATCTCCCAAATACTGGAGAGAAAGAGGAAGTACCCACCTATCCACCCACGATCCCTGGCCCTGAATGCTAGCATTTCAAAATTCCTGGCCTTTGAAATGCTGTCATTCCGTGTGGTGGAGACAGACAGTTTTAAAAACCTGATGGCGTTATTGGACTGCAAGAAATGCACTGCAGGCCGCAAATATTTCTTTTTTTTATATGTCCCAATATTTTGGGGGCTACCCCAATAAAAAGCAAACAAATAAAAAACAGTGTTGGCTACCTACTCCACTGCTGCTTCCACCTACACCGCCACAGTCACCGCATACTCAACCTATGGGTCACTTAGTATAAACTATGTACACAATAGCAGAGGCTTGTGAAGGCCTTTTTTCCATGCATCAGGAGTTGAGCTCAGTTTGAACAATGAAAGAGAATACCCTGCACTCCAACCCTCTCTCAAATTGATAATTCTGGTGATCCTCCTGACAGCCATGCTTTAGATTTTGATTTATGTTCTTCCAAAGCTAAAATCAAAGATTCCATCTAGTGCTATTGTATGGCTCAGCTGTATTTTATGTTATTTTAAGTGACTTCCCTATCCACTTTTGTTTGCAGGGCACTTGTCCTACTCATACCCCCATTTTACTACCTTTTGCAATCCTCTAGCCCTTTCCAGGACTTTTTTAGAGGCATTTTAGTGCCCAAAAGTTCGGGTCCCCATTGACTTCAATGGGGTTCGGGTTCGGGGTCAAGTTCGGGTCAAGTTCAAACCCGAACTCGAACATTTTTATGAAGTTCGGCCGAACTCGGCGAACCCGAACATCCAGGTGTCCGCTCAACTCTACTCAACACATAAAAGACAATGTTCTCCCAGTCTAGAGCCCCTGTGATGAGTTGCACCTCCTGAGTTTCGTGAGTCACCTTAGGGTTCATGAGTGGCCTGCCATCGAGTGCTTCCACGGCTAGAGGTGAGGCCTTGCGTACCAAGGTCATGGCATGGGACTCAGCAAAGGACTGCTCTATAAAGTTGCCAGCTGCACCTGAGTCTAATAGGGCCTTAGTATGTATGGTCTCACTGCTAAAGGTGAGGATAACCTCTAGAAGCGGTCTAGAAATTTTGTTGGGAGGGGTTACCTCCTCTCATGTGGTCTTAGGTGCTGGCGTTTCCCTGCAGTTCAGGACATGTTGTCCTTGCATGCCCCTTTTTGCCGCAGTAGAGGCACAGATCTTTTGTCTTTCTGT